CCCCACCCGGTAGGGCCAGATCCCGTGACTTCTGTAACGTACAGGGATAGGTACCTGGAATTCGGGCAGTGACACTTTAATACACCATACACTACATGATGTTTTGATGTGGAATACTGAAACCCAAAAACAAAAAAACATAGAACCATGACATTTTTCAATGGCTGAAACACAAGCTCGTAGAGGGCTCAAACGTAACTCAAAGTCTTGATGTTTATTAACCAACTCATTTATAAGGGGTTTTCTTTCCCCTCTGCCATACATTGCTGCAAATGTACTGACGTACCTTTCTGGTGCAGTCTTTGTGAATGTACGCCACATATTTGGTGTACACCTGGCTCTCTCAGGATCATGCTCTTGGTCTGGCTCATCAGGAATGAAATCGGGGCTATGTAGTGTTTCCACCACAGCATATTCTCTCAAATAACGGATGCCTTCTTCCATATCAGCCCATTTTGCCACTTTATACCTAGGAACTGAATTTCCTGGGCAGGTCCTTTCACTTTGCAAAGAATGTCAACGGTTTATGGGCTGGTTCAGCCCGGTTCCCTGACCTGCCTGTAAACCGTTGACATTATTTGGTGGAGAATGTGGGCATCAGAAGTCAAACCCCCCAGTGCATTATATAATGTTACGGTGTTGAATACTGATAACCAAACATCATAGAACCATGACAAGTGACAAGTGGGTTCAACAGTGAGATTGTGTGCACCCTCAGCAAGTTTGCGGATAGCACCAAGCTCTTTGGTGTAGTCAACTGCCCTGAGGGATGGGATGCCATTCAGAAGGACCTAGACAGGCTCAAGCAGTGGGCCCAGGAAAACCTCATAAGTTTCAGCAAAGCCAAGTGCAAGATCCTGTACCTGGGTCACAGCAAACCCTAATATCAATAGAAGCCAGAGGATGAAAAGATAGAACATAACCCTGCCAAAGAGGACCTGGGAGTACTGGTCAATGGTAAGCTGGACATGAGCCAGCAATGTTCTCTCGTAGCTCAGAAAGCCAACCATATCTCAGGCTGCATCAAAAGAGATCCTGCCCCTCTACTCTGCACAGGTGAGACCTATATTGTGTCCAGATTTGAAGTCCTCAGCACAGGAGAGACATGAACCTGTTGGAGCGCATCCAGAGGAGGGCCACAAAAATGATCCAAGGAATGAAACATCTCCCCTATGAGGACAGGCTGAGAGAGCTGGGGATGTTCAGTCTGGAGAAGAGAAGGCTCTGGGGAGATCTGATAGCAGCCTTCCAGTATATAAAGGGGGCTTTAAGAAAGAAGAGGACAGACTGTTTAGCAGAATATGTTGTGATAGGACAAGGGAGAATGGTTTCACACTAAAAGAGGGGAGATTTAGACTGTATGTAAGGGAAAAAAAAATTACAGTGAGGGTAGTGAGGCACTGGAAAAGGTTGCCCAGAGAGGTGGTGGATGCCCCATTATTTCAGACATTGAAGAAAAGACTGGACAAGGCTCAGGGCAACCTGATTCAGCTGTAGATGTCCCTATTCATTGCAGGTGAGTAGGAATAGATGACCTTTAAAGGTCCATTCCAACTCAAATGATTCTACAATTCTACAGTATGACATTGTACCAAACAATAAAAACTCAAGAGAGTTCTCCTGGAGGTGCTGCTGTTGCTTGGAAATTGTCTGGGCATTGATCAGTTCATGGTGAGCAATTGGGTTGTGCATTATTTGTTTTGTGTTTTCTTTTTGTTGCTACTGTGTTGGGTTTTTTCCCTTTCCCTTTCCCTTTCCCTTTCCCTTTCCCTTTCCCTTTCCCTTTCCCTTTCCCTTTCCCTTTCCCTTTTGGTTGCAGAATTATCTAGGTCTATCACTGTCCATGACAGGGGGACAGCAGAATCCAGAATCCGGAATCCCAGGGGTCAGCCTTGGGTCTCTCCCGAGGCTCTTTGCCATAGACTCCAAGTGGCACCTTTCTCACCAGCAACAGTGTAAAGGATGTTCTTTACACCCTGTCCCATCTGCAATGGTCCCAGGGCCGTGGCTCGAGCTATCTCCTGCTTAATTTTCTCATAAGCCTGCTGCTGCTCAGGGCCCCATGTAAAATTTTTCTTCTGCATCACCTCATAAACGGGGCTCATAAACCTCATAAACCTCATAAACCTCATAAACGAGGATGTAGTTTGGAACATGCATTCTCCAAAATCCCACTACGCCCAGAAAAGACTGTCTCTCTTTCATGCTAGTGGGTGAAGACATAGCAGTGATTTTGTTGATCACATCCGCTGGGATGTGACGATGCCCATCTTGACACTTTATATGTAGGAACTGAATTTCCTGTGCAGGTCCTTTCACTTTGTTTCACTTAATAGCGAAACCAGCTTGCAGTAGTATTTTGACTATTTGGAGTGTTGATGGTTTACGAGCTGGTTCAGCCCGGTTCTGCGACTAATGGGGCATGGGACCCATGGATCCCGTGGACCCATTTCACGCTCCTGAAAAGGAGATAGGGAAAGGGGGAAGGGTAGGGTGATGACTGATGGGCCTAAAAACAGAACAGCAGCAACAATCAGAGGAGGAAAGTTAATTTACTAACTATGATATCGGAATGCAAGATAACAGAATATAATACAATATATAATTGAAACTGAGGCTAATAGATTAAATAAAATGAGATAGTGTCCAAAATTGAAGGCCTTACTCTGAATTGAAGGGAAAACAGCTTGGGAGCACACCCACACACTGCCAGGCAGCGAGAAAGAGAGTAAGTCCCATGACTTGCCAGGAGCTTTATCTTCCCTTTGTACGCAAAGTCCTCTGGGGTATGTAGTACTTCTCTTCTGAGAATCAGGTATTCGGAAAATTGGCAGTCCATGGAAGTAGGGCATTAACTCTTTAACTCCCAGTGCTTTACATGATGTTATGATGTGGAATACCGATAACAAAAATCACAAAACCATTACACTTTTCCTTTTCATTTTCATTTGCCTACTGAAGGGTATACTGATAGGTATTCCTTGTTGCCATTTAGAAACTTACATTTTCTTTCTTAGCACATGTTTATATGCAAACATAAGTAGATTTTATTTGGCAATTTATTAGTTAGAAAATTATTTCTTGCAATATGAACTAATACAAATGAGAATGAATAGCTGTTCAGAGGTACTGCCTTCTGACAAAGAAAATCTTGAACTGTTAGTCTATCTAGCTGCTATTTCACTTGTAACTGTTTATAATGATTTTTCCTTCTCTAAGGCATTTTAAAAGTTTGTTATCAGTTTAAACTTAGTTGTGTAGTCTTTTTCCATTAATGAGTGAAGCTTTTCATTTAATTGTGCAAATTTAAATTCTATGCTTAAAGGCACAAAGTAAAATTGTGTGGTTGAACATGCACATAAACATGAACAGTATTTTACCTTTTCTACTTTAACTTTTTTAGCTTCAGTAGTAATTTAGTTTTATTCGGTGAAGTTGCCTTACAATGAAATGTGTAGAAAAACAGAAAGACTTGATCAAGAACTAGAGTTTCAGTATGTGTTCAAGTTTCTTTGTAAAATTAGAACCAGTTTTGCAAGAGAATGCCTCTTAACTAAAAGAGTTTAGTATTTCTATAATAATCTATTAACCGAGTTAGGAATATGAACTGCAGGCTGACCTGCTTGATAAGCTTAAAGCATCAAGGAAGTGAAATTTGACAAAAGATACTGTGGAACTCTGGTAAGATCTTCATGTAGAATGAAGGTCTGGAGGAGGGATAAGCTACTGAATTAATTATGCTTTTATTTTAATGGAGTTATGATTACATCTTCAGTATTACTAGTTTTGTATGCTGTTTTTCATTATTTTTCATTGTTATTTAAGACAGATTGTGAGATTTTACTGGTGTGATTTCAATTTGTCTCTTTTGGAACTTAATCATATGTAGACTGCTCTGTGAGCTTTCATTGTTCATGGAGACATTTTTCTTTGGTTATTGTCACTAATCTAAGGATGGATGTTGTTTTCTGCAAATGTTTTTTCATTTTTTAGCTGTTGCTTTTAAACATGCTAATTCTGTATATTTTACTGACAGTTAAATTTAGTGCATTGTAACCAGTATTTAATCCAGAAATTTATTTTAGAATTAGCTAACATTCTTAAAAATGTTAATTAGGCAACCTTCAAAATATCATGTTAGGAATGAGTATGTATATCATAACATGCTAAAATACATATAATATACATTTACCATTTTTACCAATATACTGTTGCAATGCTCATGTTTTTTACACTTGTATTCAAAACTGTTGGTTAGTTTTATTTTATTTATATATATATATACTTTCTTAAACTGAGTAGAATAAAACTTGTGTAATGTTTTAGTGGTTTGAAATTGTGAAATAGCTTTGATGACTGTTAATCTGAAGAACTGATATCACCAGTGAAAATCTTTCCATGGAAGTTGCATTAAAAAAAACTGCAGAAATGCAAAAACTATATTTAATCTATTTTCTGCTTTAAGGAATATCCCTTATACTGATTTTACCTTGGCGTATCATTTTTCTTGTGCTGTACTAAATAGAAATGTTAGAAGAATATTGTTGCTGCCATGTATCTTTAAAAACAGTTGAAATCAAAGGTGCCTGGAAGTGAAATTTCCTTCAAGTGACAGAACAGGTTAGGGAAAACAAATGCCTTGAAGAATTTGTAAGCCACCACTAATATTTCCACTGACTTCTCCCTTCTAGGGTAAGGGAATTATATTTAGTGTGCTGCAGAGAGGAATGAATTAGCAAAGTCATAATATTGTCAGGTAACATTGCTCTTTGAGACCTGATTTAGGGTTTTAACAAATGAGTTTTGATGTTCATTGTTATAGCAGCTGAAATAGTTCTTTTGGCTTAAGCAAACAAGGTTTAGAAACTACTATTATGAAAGCAACTGTATGCAAAATGTTGAAAGTGTTTAATTTTCAGTGTGTATTTTTTTCTTTTTCCAGTACAGAGTAGAATTGTGAGTATGTCCTTGTTTAATATTATGTTTCTATCTGTGTACAGAAAGCATAGAAACAATGTGGGACCAAGCAAACCTATTTCTCAGCCACGAAGAAACATTGTAGGCTGCAGAATACAGCATGGCTGGAAGGAAGGAAGCGGACCCATAACACAATGGAAGGGCACAGTTCTTGATCAAGTTCCTGTAAATCCTTCTCTCTATCTTATAAAGTATGATGGATTCGATTGTGTGTATGGACTAGAACTGCACAAAGATGAAAGAGTTTCAGCACTTGAAGTCCTTCCAGACAGAGTTGGTAAGAGTTTTTTTCCTATATATGTTGCCATTTAATAGTTAATGCTCTTCACTAATTTCTCCTGATTTTCTCCCAAGATAATATCAGAACATTTGGATTTTATTAAATCACTTTTTGTCACATTGCAAATAATACAAATTTTCACACTGTAAAGTTCAAAGTTTACCCTATTAATTACTTATTTCTAAATGGAATAAGATCTTGCTTTTCTGCAGAGATCAGTAGCAGTCTCTAGAATGGGGTTAGGGAGGACCAAACTCAACACTTTTATTAATAATTTTATAGAGCTGTTTTATATTGGCCTCCCTTCCTTCTCCCTTACAATACAAATATTGAAAATATAAACATTATTAATTGCTATGGCCTATATTGGTCTCTCTTTACCTTGCATTATGATATTTTGATGAACAGTGGTGATAAGAGTGTTAACATGTCAAAATAATTCTTGAAGTTCTGCAGATTTATTATCTTCAGCTCTCTGGAATGGACACTATTTGTTATGTATGTGAATTGACTAACTTCCAAACAAATTTATTTGTGAATTTGGATAAAGATTACTTTTGATGAAGACTTGCATCTGTATTTTTTAATTAACTTACTTATGTACTGCTGTCATTTCAGCTTCATCTCGAATTAGTGATGCCCACCTGGCAGACACAATGATAGGCAAAGCTGTGGAACATATGTTTGAGACAGAGGATGGCTCAAAAGATGAATGGAGGGGGATGGTCTTGGCTCGAGCTCCTATTATGAACACATGGTTTTATATTACCTATGAGAAAGATCCTGTCTTGTACATGTACCAACTCTTAGATGATTATAAAGAAGGTGACCTTCGCATTATGCCTGATTCCAGTAAGTTGGCTGGTTACTTTTTTCCTCTGGAAAGTGGCATCTCTCTTTGTATTCTTGTTTGGCTTATGTTTTATTTATGGAAAAAGAGAGCTGACAAACAAGGGCCTTGATTGTTATTCCCTTTTATATATATATATATATATATATATATATATAGTACTCTCCCTTCACTTAATAAGCACTTCTCAGAGAGACGATTTTGTCTTTAAAATGAATTATTCATTAGATAATTAGTGCTATGCAATCATAAAATCATAGAATAGCTTGAGTTGCAAGAGACCTTAATGATCATCTAGTCCCAACCTCCCTGCCACGGACAGAGATGCCACCCACTAGATCAGGTTGCCCAGGGACCCATCCAACCTGGTCTTGAGCACCTCCAGGGATGGGACATCCACACCCTCTCTAGGCAGCCTGTTCCAGTGCCTCACCACCCACTGAGTAAAGAATTTGTTCCTAACATCTGATCTATATCTCCCCTCTTCTAGTTTAAAACCATTCTCCCTTCTCCTATCGGTCCATGTAAAAAGTCACTCCCCTTCTTGCTTATAAGCCCTCTTCAATTACTGGAAGGTCACAATAATGTCTCCCCTCTGGACCCGCTCTGACAGTTGCAGTCTTTCTTGTGCTGAGGGCCTCAGACCTGGACACAGTACTCCAGATGGGGCCTCACAGGAGTAGAGTAGAGGAGGACAATCACCTCCCTCACCCTGTTGGCCACCCCTCTTTTCAGCCCAGGATACAGTTGGCCTTCTAGGCTGCAAATGCACACTGCTGGCTTCCGTCAAGCTTTTCATCCACCAGAACCCCCATGTCCTTCTCTGCAGAGCTGCTCTCCATGAATTCTTATCCCAGTTTGTATTCATGTCTGGGACTGTCCTGATCAGCTGCAGCACCTTTCACTTGGCCTTCTTGAACCTCATTCTGTTTACATGGGCTCAATTTTCAAGCTTGTCTAGGTCCCTCTGAATGGCATCCCTTCCTTCTGTTGTATCAACTGCACCACTCAGTCTGGTGTCATCTGCAAACTTGATGAGAGTGCACTTGATACCACTGTCCATTTCGCCGACTCAGATGTTAAACAGTACTAGTCCCAATACAAACCCCTGAGGGACACCATTTATAACCAGCCTCCACCTGGACACAGAGATGCTGACCACAACTCTCCAATTTAGAGATAAGGATGACGTGGGACCATGTTGAAGGCCTTACAGAAGTCCAGGTAGATAACATCATGTCAAGGTTTTGTTTTTTGGTTTTCAGTATTCCACATCATAACATCATCTAGTGCACTGGGAATTAAAGTGTTAATGCTCCAATTCCAGGTACCTATCCCTAATACATTACGGAAGTCATAGGATCTGGCCCTTCCAGGTGGGGTGGTCTCTTACTGCCTTGCAGTGGGTGCTGGAGGGTGCTTTCCTAGCTGTTCCAAGCTTTTCAGGTTTGACTCGATCCCGGGAACTCTCTCTCACCTATTTTATTTGATTTATTAGTCTCAATTTCAATTAGATTGTATTATATTGTGTTATCTTGCATTCAGATATCATAATTAGTAAAATAAGTAAAATAAGTTTTCCTACATAGATCGTTGCCGCTGTTTTTCTCCCTTCATAGAATCATAGAATCACAAGGTTGGAAACAACCTATAAGATCATCTAGTGCAACCATCTCCTCATCATCATTGCCACCACTAGCACTAAACCATATCACGCAGCACATTGTCCAGACGCCTCTTGAACACTGCCAGGGACGGCGACTCCACCACCTCCCTGGGCAGCCATTCCAGTGCCTGACCACTCTCTGAGATAAATAGTTCCTCCTTATGTCTATTCTAAACCTCCTCTGTTACAACTTGCGGCCATTGCCTCATGTTCTGCTCGTTGCCTGGGAGAAGAGGCCAAATCCCTCTTCACCACACCCTCTCTTCAGGAAGTTGTAGAGTGCAATGAGGTCTCCCCTGAGCCTCCTCTTCTCCAGACTAAACAATCCCAGCTCCCTCAACCGCTCCTCATAAGACTTGTGCTCCAGACCCCTCACCAGTTTTGTTGCCCTTCTCTGGACATGGTCCAGGACCTCAACGTCTTTCCTGTAGTGAGGGGCCCAAAACTGAATACAGTACTCGAGGTGAGGCCTCACCAGTGCTGAGTAGAGAGGGACGATTACCTCCCTGCTCCTGCTGGCCACACTATTTCTAATGCAGGCCAGGATACCGTTGGCCCTCTTGGCCACCTGGGCACACTGTCGGCTCATGTTCAGCCGAGCATCAACCAACACCCCCAGGTCCTTCTCTTCTTCACACTCATCCAGCCACTCATCCCCAAGCCTATAACGCTGCATGGGGTTGTTGTGCCCAAAGTGCAGGACCCGGCACTTGGCCTTGTTGAACCTCATCCCATTCACCTCATCCCAGCGGTCCAGCCTGTCTAAATCCCTCTGAAGTGGGTTCCTTGAGCCCAGCTCCCATCTCCCTATCTCTTTTCCCTTTTACTTCCCATTTTGTGGGGCCGGGGGGGCCCCACGGGCCTACTGCCCCCTGTCACGGGCATAGATTGATCTAGTTAACTCCATGACACATCAGTTGGTCTTCCCTTCTCAAATGATGCCATCACTTCATCATAGAAGGCCACCAGATTCAGATAAGTTGTCTATCCTTGGTGAAGCCATGCTGGCTATTGCAAATCAACTACTTGTCTTGTATGTGCTTTAACATTTATTCCATGGCCTCCTCAGGCACAGAGGTGAGGCTCACTGGTCTTTAGATCTTTGGGTCTTCCTTTCTACCCTTCTTAAAAATTGAAGTGAAGTTTCCCTTTTTCAAGTCACCAGGGACTTCACCTGAGAGCCATGACTTTTCAAATATGGTGGAGAGTGGCTTGGCAACTACATCAGCAAGTTCCTTCAGGATCCTGGGATGCATGTTGCCTGACCTCATACACTTGTACATGTTCTGTCTCATTATGCCATCTTAGACTTGCTCTTCTGTTACATTGGGAGGGATTTTGCTCCTCCAACCCATGCCTAGAGGTTCAGGGATGTGAGAGACACGAGAAGCCTGACTACCAGTGAAGACCAAGGAAAAAACTTGTTGAGTACCTCAGCCTTCTCCATGTCTGTTGTGGCCAGTTTTCCTTTGTCATTTATCACAGAGGGTCCACTCTCCTTATCTTTTATCTTCTGACCAATATACTTGTAGAATCCCTTGTTATTTTTCACATCCCTTGCCAATTTCAGTTGCATCCGTGCCTTGGCTTTCCTGATCTCATCTCTACACATCCAGACAGCAGCCCTGTACTCACTCTTCCTAGGCCATATGTCCCTGCTTCCACTGCCTGTGCATTTCCTTCTTACACCTCAGTTTGACCAGCAGGTCCTTGCTCAGTCATGCCAGTTTCCTGCCTCCCCTACTTGATTTCTTACACATGGTAATAGAGAGCTTTTGTGCTCTAGGAAAGGTGTCCTTAAATGATTGCCAGCTCTGTTCAGTTCCTTTGTCCCTAAGGACAGTTTCCTAGAGTATTTCTCCCACTAATCCCTAATTCTTTAAACAGCTGGAGGCCGGGTATTCTGAAGTTCAGGGTCCTGACTTTGGTCTTTTCCAGGCCCATATTCCTTGAGATTGTGAACTCAACTAGGGCATGGTTGCTACAGCCCGGATTGCTTCTAATCTTAAACTCTTTAATGAGTTCATCTGCATTGGTGAGCACCAGGTCCAGTAATGCTTCACCTCTGGTTGCTTTTTTTAATACCTGGACCAGAAAGTTATCCTCAGTGCACTCCAGGAGTCTACTGGTTTGCTTACAGACTGCTCTTTTGGTTTCCGGACAGACATCCAGCCAGTTGAAAATCCCCCATCAGGATGAGAGCCTATCAGTGGTTGTCGTAGAGCCTATCAGTTGTAGTTGAAGCAAGAAGGCCTCATCCACAGGCTTCTCTTGATCAGGCAGCCTGTAGTAGACCCTGATCAGACCCCAAGATTTCCTTCATTGGTCCCATCACTAATTTTTACCCACAAGCTCTTAAGTTGTTCATGGCTGTTTCTCAAAGGCAGCTCTCTGCAATCTATCCATTTCTTAACATAGAGGGCAACACCTCTGCACCTCCTTCCATGTCTATCTCTTCTGAAAAGCTTGTAGCCCTCAATTGCACAGTAGAAATATTAAAATTCATTCATTGAGTTTGAGACTGTCTTCCTTCAGATGTGTCACTGGTGATAAATACTCTGATAGCTGAGTAAACAGGTGGCACTTATTTGCATAACCTCTAAAGTAATGGTAGGCTTTTAGACTTTTTTTCCAGTCTAACGAAAAGCAACATATCTGTGGCTTGAAAAGAGTGAACTCCAAATGGAAAAAAAATGTCCTTCCCACTCTTAAAGAAACAAATAAAGCTCTTTCAGAGTTGGCATCTCCAAATAATTTGTTCTCTGTAAAACCTTAAAAATGATTGTAAGGTATTTTAAAATTCTGCTTTGTTTTCTTCGACCTTTAGAAAAATAAGGGAAAGGCCTATATGCTTTCCACATTTAAGAATTAATTGTTTTTAATGTGCTCTTTTTTCCCTTGAACTCATCCTTCTATTTACCTCTGTTTCTAAGAGACTCCAAAGTATGAGCTACCTTTCCTGAATTTGGATCTTTTTCAGATAATGTGAATTGTGTCCTTAAGAATACTTTTGGCTAGATTTTTACCAGAAAAAAAATATATATTATATATAATATATATATATTATTTACTAGAAAAGCAAACAATATAGTTAGACTTCAGCAACAGTATTCATTTCAGTGGGGAGTTAAAAGGCCTTTTAACAGCTTTATTGATTAAGGAGGTAACACTTAGAAGATGTGTTTTTGTTACAGTGTCATGCTTACATTGACATTTTGAATACAGTTTGTGGGGAAAGGGAGGTCTAGCATTCTGGCTTTTTTGTTAAAGAAATTCAGCACCTTGTTCTGCAGGGGGCTTAAATTCAATTATCTACAAATATGTTCTGTAACTAGTGTGTGAACCTTCATGTCAATATTTATTTTTCTAGCCAAGTAAAGTGATATTTTTGACTTCATAAAATTGAAGATAGCATTACCTTAAAGAAAAACTGAAACTGAAAAACTGAAAAACTGTTTGAACAGTTCATTTTGGGCATGCTCTGCATTTTAAACTTGCGATTATAACTTGTAAAGAAGATTGTAGTTTTCTATACTGGAAAAAGAAAAAACATAAATGTCTCTCAAAGGACATTATATTTTTGTATTGCAGATGATTCACCTCCAGCAGAACGGGAACCAGGTGAAGTTGTGGACAGCCTGGTAGGCAAACAAGTGGAGTATGCCAAAGAAGATGGATCAAAAAGGACTGGCATGGTAATTCATCAAGTTGAAGCCAAACCATCTGTCTATTTCATCAAATTTGATGATGATTTCCATATTTATGTCTATGATTTGGTGAAGACATCCTAGATATCGTCATGAAATTTTGCCAAATTTGTGGAACTATTAAATGTAAAATTTGTAGACACAGACTTGACTGCTTTTCAGTTAAACAAAAGCTTAAATGTCCCTGTGAACTCGCAGTCTCTGCTAGCAAACCTGTTTTGTTCTGAATGTTACAAACATTTATGTGAATGTGACAAATTTTGCATAAGAGAACTCAATTTCTTGATGAAAGTCAATATATTTGGGTAGGAGGGAGTTAAAAGCATAGAACAGCTGCAAAATCAAGCTGTGTAAAGTCAATCTAATATTGTAATCTAATTGTTTTCATAGATTTTTAACATTTTCTTCAATGTTACACTCATCTCTTCAACTGCCACATGCAAATGTAGTTTGCTATTTTTATGTCTTCTTTTGTAACATTACAGTTAATTTCTTTGCTGCTGGCAGTCCTTGTTTTCCAGGTTGAGTCAGAGGTGACTTTTCTCAAAGATTTGAATGGTTTATGAAGCAGTAAGGAGTGCCTAACCCAAGTAACATAAATTTACTGTGTTTCTAGGCTTTTTTTTTTTTTTTTTACATTAAGCTTTTTAAAAACTTTCAGTACATGGAAACAATTGTGCATTTTTAGTAGTCACGGGGCAATAAGATATCAAGTGTTTGACTTATACACCTTATAGAGACAAAAAAGCTACCTTCAATCCTAAATGTTGTACTTTCTTTTGTTATACACATTTCTTAGCAAAACCCAAGTACTTGGTGCCACAAGTTTAACAGTATATATACTACTTAAGAAGACTTCAGTCTATGCATTGTCAATCAGTAGTCTCTCATTTAATGTTAGAACCTACCAAACTGGATATCTGTCTGTAGACTTAAAAGCCTAACCATAGTTAATGTTTTACATGGTAAATACAATCTCAAGGGTGGAGATGGAGTCCTCTTACTTTGAAGACCTCCTTTAGAGAAGAAGTATTTATTGCCTTCTACTCAGTCTGCAGACGATTCTGTTTGAATCTCACACCCAGAGGAGCGGGATTCGAACCCATGCCTCCACAGGAGACTGTGACCTGCAGCCTTCTTGCTTTTGTTCTCAACCATCTTGGTTCAAGAATATATGTTCCCAATATATTGTTTTTCTGACTTTTCCATGTAAGGAGTGTCCAAAGAAATCTACAGCTTAAACCTGTTGTTGCCTTTTGTGGTGTACTTGCTTAGAGGTATGTTAACATGAATTTCATTATATGAGCACTAGAGTTCTGCATGCTAGTGGTGTACTATCTAATGGAAGCTATAGGCAGTCTCAGTGGTTCAGTCATCTGCATTAGACTGTGGATGTAAATAGCAGCCAAATCCTTTCACAGTTTTAATCTTGCAAGATGGTTGTAAATCGAGGTTAGGATTTCATTATTTTTTAAGTTTAGCAGCTTTTAAAAGCATCAGAATTGCAACAAGGCAACAAAATTGCACAGCAACAAAATTGTTGTTACTTTAGAGCAGGACTCTACAAGCTTCAAAGTACAGCTTCACAGTAATACAGTATGTGAAGACAGTTACTACTGATGGAAAGAAGGAATGCATAGATATATACAATCTTATGCTCTTAGTGGAAGGATTCAGTAGAGGTGCTATTAATCAAAGATCAAAGGTTTGACCTCTATTTTTAGTATTCTTGATATCAAAGAGTCAGTGGTTTAAGCCCCTTTCTGTCCTTTTCCTGATTTTATATTTTAGCCTTAAGGCTTGTGCTTCATTATGCTGTTGAATGGTAATACCATATAAATATGATACCTTAATTCTTTGTCTCTTGCTACTATATTACATTCTGTCCAGTATTTCATCATGGGCAACCCAAGGCAGGCAATTGTATTTCAGTTCACAGCTTCTCAATCCAGTACTCAAGCACTAAGTACCTGAGTTGCAAATTTTCCTTCTGTTTTGAACAAAGCGAGCAGATTTGCAACACAGTGCTTTCATCCTGCAGATCTGTTATGTGCTTTCTATTGACTCTTAGAGTCCTGCATGTAAATCTTAAAGCTGAGCCTGGCTCCATGAGCCCCAGTTGATATTTGTGGCACAAGAATGAGTGAGTGTACTGATTATACACAAGATACGTTAATAACTTGGTACAAGGAATTTTGGGCTATATGTCTAAGGAATGCTTTGAAATAGCTGAGGTTTAGGTCTACTGTAACATTTTTAGCATTAGGCTTGCATTTGTGGGTTTTATGCAAACCATCCTAATATATCAGGTATTTTGATAATTAGAATATAATCTATAAAGTGTCAAATTTCTGGTTGTTTTTATATGTCACTGTTGTTTGTTACACAGTTGTTTTTTGTTTTCTTTTCATATTTTTTCTTAAGGTTTGGAGTTTTGGTTTTTTTAATTTGTTTGGTAGGGTTATTTTTTTATTTTGTTTTTGTTTGATAGCTTAAGAAACACATTTTTGAGGCTTGAGACTGATTCTACTCCCTGACATCTGCTTTGGGCTTTGTTTTAGGCTAATGCTTCAGATCTGCATGCAGTGCTTTTGTTAACCTGGTAACTAATTGTTGACCCCTTGTTCTAGAGGTTCAACATTGCTTTCCAAATTTATCATAGAGCTTGTGATGGCACATTACATGGATCTTTGGATAAAAGTTATTGGCCTCTCTAAAACCTGCTGTAGTATTGTTGTATATTGTGTGCGTGTGTGATGTCAAGCTGCCATGTAAAACTTTTTAAAACAAAAAAAAATTAAACCTGGGCCATCCTTCTCTGCATGCTTAGAAAGTTAGAACATTCAATGTAACAAACTAAAGTTGCATGTTATAATGTTTAGATTTGGGTTTTGTTCTGTTTTTTCTTTCTTTCTTTTTGAGGGGGAGGAGGGTTCATTTTTTTGTGAATTTGCTTATTGTGCTGTTTAAATGGTTGTTAGTAGGATTAAATGCACTGGTGAGGCAAACATAGTGCCAACAGAAGGTAATTTTCCAGTTGTATATGTCATACAGCATTTGAAGGGATCATGTATTCTGTTCAAGAACAGAATCACAACTGATTAGTACAACACTACTTATTTTCTTCTTTTGAATGGCAAACCCTAAACTAAGTTGGACTATGTGAAGACTGAAACACTTTGGAGAAAGTCTTACTTATTACAATAGGTAGAAGCCTTCTTTAAATTAATTATTTTAAAAGCGAGGCTTTATTTTCAGACAGAATATACTACACTTGTTTCAGGGGAAAAAATGGTAAAAACAGTTTTTGGTTCCTTGAAAATGCTGTGCTTTTTGTATTTTAGATCATTCATTAGTGCAATTTGGATGGTTCTTGGTATGTGTATAGTACAGATGTCTTTGTATTTACATTATAGAAATAGGTAATGACTTCATCTTTAGAACTCAGTTTCATTATTTTTACTTTATTTTGAACAATTTAGACAGTTCCCTGTTTTCTGCATTTATAAGTATGAATACTTTAAATCTGTTACTTAATTCTGTAAGTAATTTTTATAATTATGATGTAACTCTATCCTTAAAACATTTAAAATAAATCCTTTATGTGCAACTCATGACTGCAAAGTTTGCTTGCATGAACAAAATGTAGTGATGTGACTTCAGGTTGTGAAAAGGCAGTTTCTTTCGGTTTGTTTGGGTTCTTTTTTAGTTAAAAACTACTTAGTATATTGATGTTGAGTCATGTATGCTGGTATAAAGCTTTCCCCTATGAAATAAGTTTCCTTACTGTTGGAAATATCCAAGTAATTTTGTCAGGACGGTATCTCTGATAAA